GTGCTGGGCTGGAGACACAATGTTAGAAGCAAGCATCTCTATTCTTGCAGCTTGAGTCCTAGCAGTAACCAGGTAAGCAAAAATGAACAAAACCAGTATGTAAATTCCGCAGGGCAGAATGTGTTAGGCGCTAGGCTGATTAGATGTTTTCATTTGTTCGTTTTTTGTTAAATTGACACCAGCTAGGGTCACTAGCTTCACAGGAAGAGGGAACTTTAACTGAGGAATTGCCTCCATTGGACTGGCCTGACAGGAAGTCTATGGCACATTTTCTTGATCAACGATTGATGTGGGAGGGACCAGGCCACTGTGGGTGATGCCCATCTCTGAGCGGGTGAACCTGAGGTGTGTAAGAAAGCAAGGTGAGAAAGGCACGGAAAGGAAGCCAGTAAGCAGCGTCCCTCTGTGGTCTTGGTTTCGTTTCTTGCCTCAGGCTTTGCGGATGGTGAACATTAACCTGGAAGCTAAATGAACCCTTTCCGCCTCAAGTTACATCTGGTCGGGGTGTTTATCACAGCAACAGAAAGCAAACTAGAATGGGTGTATAGAGAAGATTTCTGGGGCCTGGGGTTGGGTGAAGTATGCAGACCTAAGCCAACTGACCAGGAAGTTCATTAAGTCACTTGAGTTAGGTGTCTTGGCAGTGCCTGAAAACCCAGCTACTGGGGAAGCAGAGGTGGGTCACTCCAGCACAGGAGTTTAAATCTAGCTTCGACAACATGGGAGCTAGGTGCTCTTCAAGCAAATCAGAGGCAGAGCTGGGCATGTCGCTTGGTGGTAGAGTGCTCACCGAGGTTCAAATACCAGTAACACAGATGCACAGAAGGTAACAGTCTATTTTGGGAACTGGAGAGAAGGCTCATTGTTTAAGAATGTGTACTATTCTTTCAAAGGACTGAGTTCTGTTCCCAGGACCTACACGGTGGCTCACAAACCCCTGTGCCTCCAGTTCCGGGGTATCTAATGGTCTCTTCAGGCTCTTGCACAGGTATGGTGCACATGTATTCATGGAGGCTCACACACATACACATTAAGGAAAAAAATAAACCTTAAAAAAGAAAAGAAAGGTAATGCTCGTGTGGGTGGGGGAAGAGGAAAAGAAGATATCTGAGCAGGTGAAGGAAGCATAGCATACTCGTATCTGTGGGAGAGTATCTAACGCAAAAGGCACAACATATGCAAAGTTCTGTGGTGGAGGGAAACTTTCCTGAGGCCGGAGGAGGTGGAACTTGGAAAATGGGGTCATCAGTAATACCACTTTGGGGTATATATCCAAAGGATGCTCAATTATGCCACAAGGACATGTGCTCAACTATGTTCATAGCAGCTTTGTTTGTCACAGCCAGAACCTGGAAACAACCTGAATGCCCCTCGACCAAAGAATGGATAAGGAAAATGTGGTACATTTACACAATGGAGTACTACACAGCAGAAAAATGACATCTTCAAATTTGCTGGCAAATGGATAGATCTAGAAAACATCATATCGAGTGAGGTAACCCAGACCCAGAAAGACAATTACCATATGTACTCACTCATAAGTGGCTTTTAGACATTTAAGAAAAAGCAGCTTACAAACCACAATCCCAGAGAACCCAGACAACAAAGAGGACCCTAAGAGAGACATACATGGGTCTAATCTTCATGGGAAGTATAAAAAGACAAGATCCCCTGAGTAAATTGGGAGCATGGGGACCATGGGAGAGAGTAGAAGAGGAGGGTAGAGGAAGGGAGAGGAACAGAGAAAAATGTAGAGCTCAATAAAAATCAATAAAATTTAAAAAAAGAAAATGGGGTCATAGTGGATTGTGGGGAGGAAGCTAGCTAACCATTTAGGGAATTTCAGTTGAATTTCTGAGTGTAATGGCAATTGATCAGTGGTTCTGAACAGAGTGAAATATTAATTTTTTTATTTAGAATGTAGTTAAGAGGTAAATAAGGGGCCTATGGCAGTATTCCAGAAAATGGGACTAGAGGAGAGCTGGAGTCATCAGAGAGGAGGAAACCTCAATTGAGAAAATACCTCATAAGATTGGGCTGTAGGCAAGCATGTGGGCCATTTTCTTAATTGGTGGCTGATGGGAGGGTAATGGGGGTATATCTTTGTGGATGAAACCATCTCTGGGCCACTAGTCCTGAGATCTATAAGAAAGCAGGCTGAGCAAGCCTTGGGGAGCAAGCCAGTTAGCACCACCCCTCCATGGCCTCTGTATCAGCTCCTGTCTCTAGGTTCCTGCCCTGCTTGAGTTCCTTCCTGTCCTGACTTCCTTCAATGACAAACAGTGATCTGAAAGTGTAATCCAAATAAACCTTTTCCTTTCCAACTAGCTTTTGGTCATCATCTTTCATTGCGGCAATAGTAACATCGAGACAGGGGGATAATTTTCTAGAAGATTCAATGCAGCTTTTGTTTCACAATAGAAGACAGGAAACTAAGAATGAAGACCTTCATATGTGTATTTTACTATCAACAGCTTCTCAAGGCAAAAATTGGCAGGTTTGCCTTGCTAGCCTGGCAATAACACTCTGAATTGTCCTGAGCCCGCCTGCCAGGTTACCTCATATCTGGCACTAAGTCACATAGCGATAGTTGTGGAATGGATGAATACGGAGTTAGTGAAATGGAAAAGACCCATGATACTTGACCCTTAGTGCTGTTATAGTTACACATTTTAAGTGGCATTAGTAATTGGGAGAGCTGCCAATCACAGCAATTTGCTCCAGTACCCTTGCTTCTTTGTTTCTCTCCCTCTAGACTGAGTTCCTTCAGGGTTGAAACATCTTTTGCCAGTCTTTGTATGTCTAGTTCCCAGTACAAGGTTTGACAAAACAATTCTTGTATGTACAATCAGTAAAGTATGGTGGATAGAAAATATATGGGTTATCAACATCTGCTAATTCTGATGAAATACATTCATTTCCTTTAAAAACGCATTGTTGCCTTACTACTGGCAATTTGAGTTTTTTTTTTCTTATTTACTTCTGCAGTTGTTTGGATAAGAATGGTCCATGAAGGCCTATGTATTTGAATGCTTAGTCACTAGAGAGTGGCACAATTTGAAATGATTAGAAGGATTAGGAAGTGTGTCACCCATGCCAGACCCAGGTACATGTTTGAGCCCCCCTCCCCCACACCTCTGCTTGCTTCTGGATCAGGATATAGTTCTCAGCTACTTCTCCAGCACCAAGCCTGTCTGTTTCCATGCTTTCTGCTATGATGATCATAGACTGACCCTATGAAATTGTAAGCAAGCTTCTGATTAAATAATTTATTTTATAAGTGTTTCTTTGGCCGTGATGTGTCTTCATAGCAATAGAACAAGGACTGAGACAACTTCTAATTGTGTGTGTTTTTCATTCATGTGCTTGTGCATGTGTGTGTGTGAGTATAGGGATGAAGATCAAAGGACAATGTGTTGGAGTTGGTCCTCTTCTACCACACAGTCCCAGGGACATCAGGCTTGGCAGGGTGAGCTATTTTGCTGTCCCTCAGTGTTTTAAAACCTTGATGAGCTATTCTAAGTCCTTGACAAGTGACAAGTATTATCAGTAGATGATAAGAAAACACAATGAGCCAGCTTTCAGGGTTTGAGACTTGGCACTGATGACAGGTTGCTGTATCTGAGGGAGAAGCACAGATTAAATACTTAAATGTGAGGATCCGGGTCTTCTATCCTCTCAGGGGGACCCACCCCCAACGAGGTCCCTTCATGTGGAGGCCTCTTTGCATCTCTTTGCCTTCTGCCCCACCTCTTATGGGGATGATTTGGCTGTGTGTGTGGATTTGAGACAGGATTTCTCTGTGTAGCCCTAGCTGTCCAGGAACTTACTTTGTAGACCACCAGGCTGGCTTCGAACTCACAGATGTCTGCCTGCCTCTGCCTTCCGACTGCTGGCATTAAAAGTGTGCGCCACCACCAGCTCTAGAAAGTACTCTTAATGTCAGTTCCAGTATGGGGATATTTCTGACAAGCCTCCTCTACCCAGGTCCCCTATTGTGATGGTTAAGATTAATGGTCAATTTGACAAGCCTCTGTGCATGTTTGTGAAGGATTATATTGATTAGGTTAACTGTGTGAATTAAATGTGGATGGTACAATTCCACCACCTCTATAAAAATGAGGAAGCCAGTTAGCACCAGCATTCGTCCATCTGTGTCTGCTTCCGGCTACGGATGCGATGTGACCAGGTCCCCCCAGCACTTGCTTCCTGAGTCCCCATCATGTTGGCCTGTAACCTCAACTTGTGAGCCAGAATAAACCTATTCTTTTTTAAAGCCGCTTTTGTTAGGTGTTCTGTGGCTGCAACAAGAAACGAACGCCTCTCACGGAGACACTATTTTCCAGATTCCTCTCCTTGGGGAAGAGCTTCCTTCCTGTTTCTTTCCCAAGGGGACAGTTCTGTTCAGCTTCCTCTTCCCCTCGGGGGAACCTCTGTCCAAAGTCATCTTCCACAGGTTCTAGGTTTCCCAATGGGAGAACCTCCACTGCAAGTCTCCCTCCAAGGAGCACTTCAAGCTAGTATCTCTTCCTTGGAGGGGAGTCTTAATTCCAGGTTCTCTTTCAATGGGACTAGGTGGCCCAGCAACATATCACCTGAGGGGAAGTCTCTTTCCAGGTCCCCTCTCACGGCCTATACCTCTGGTCAGTATCCCCTCTCCTCCCTTCACAAGGAGCCTCGTTCCCAAGACCCCTCAAAGGGCAGCATCCATTATCCTGGGGGCACCGCTTATGCCTGGTATCCCATCCCCAGAGAGAAACCTCTGCACGCTGTCTTCACCTACGGAGGCCCTTCCTTAGAACGAACAACTGTCCCTGACAAGACACCCTACCGCCCACCCCATCCCCGCCCCCTTCGGCTCAGTAGTCTGTCCTCTGGAGGGCGTGTTTACCCCGGTCGCCCCACTGAGACACCGAAGACCCCCCTCCCTCCTTCCCCGTGCATGAGCAGGACTTCCGCTGGACCCCCTCCCCTCAGGCGGGACTTCCGCCCTCACCCCCCCCCCCCCCCCTCCCGCTGCGCCGCTTCGTCCTCTCCGCCCGAGGCGAGCCGGCTAGTCTCGCGCTCTCTGCCTTGCAGCGGCACGGGATCTGGGTGACGCGGGCTGCGGAAGCCAGGACCGGGCGGATCCCGTCTCCGTCTCCTGTCCTGTCGTCTGTCTCCCCATCTCTCGCTCTTCTCTCCGCCTCGTCAGGCTCGGCTAAGAGCGAGTGGCAAGATGGCGGCGCCCAGGATGCCACCCTCCCGGCTGTCGGGCATCATGGTGCCAGCACCCATCCAGGACCTGGAGGCCCTGCGTGCCCTCACTGCGCTCTTCAAGGAGCAGCGGAACCGGTAACCACGCAGGGGCTGCTGTCTAGGAGGAAGAGGATCCATGGAGGGGCTCTGGGCTGGGCTGCTGGCGAGGCGGGGCTGCGGGCGAGACGGGCTCGGCCCACGCGCGGGTTGCGGCTCTGTGGCGCGCGCCTAGGCCTGCTCGGGACGACGGTTTGCCCAGGCTCGGAGGGGGCAGGCGGTGGCAACGCTGGTCCCCAGGCTGGCTGTGAGGAAGCTGTTGCTTTGGCTCCTCAGGCGGGGCCCTACGGGCGGGCAGTGGCCCGGGGAGGCGTGTTCTGGCTTCTGCCACTGGGTTAAAGGGAGATGCCCAGGAGCCTGCAGATCCGGACTGGCTTCTTGACATCTGCTCTACATTGCCTCCCACCTCTCTATTTCTCGCCTTGAAAATGGGAAATCGGGTGCATGTTTTCAGTGCTGCGATGAAATAAGACGTGGGAACAGAAGTACGCGAGGCTGTCAGGTCCTGTTTTGTAGGATTGTTTGTGCTGCGGTTTCCCTTTCTGTTTAATGGAGACGATGTTGGAGGTACCTCCTTAGTGGAAACGTAGTGAGAATTTAATGAGATTATGCATGTTATATCCTTAGGACACCTAGCACTAAACAAGCGTTAGTATTTTCTCTTTATAGTCATGGCCTCCCCTGTACCAAGCGTTGTGCTTAGTTATTGGAGCGAGAGGTCACCGAACCTTTGCTTTCTCGTGGAGGGAGCTATCATGCAATCCCAGTGTGTGGACAGAGAGCAGAGTGGAAAAGAGCACATAGGCTTGGGTAGGTTCAGTGCTTTCTAGAACTTTCCATTTAAAACAACAACAACAGAGAATTGCTCTAATCCCAGCACTCGGGAGGCAGAGGCATGCCAATCTCTGTGAGTTCGAGGTCAGCCTGGTCTCTAGAGTGAGTTCCAGAACAGTCAGGGCTACATAGGGAAACCCTGTGTTGAAAAACTAAAATAAATGAATACATAAATAAATTCTATACTGAAAAACCAAACCAAACCAAGCAAGCAAGCAACCAACCAACCAAGTAAGCAACCAACCAACAAGGTAGATAGAAAACCGAATCAGGCACAGTGTCACCTGACTTCCTTCAGTCCCAGCATTCAGGAGGCAGAGGCAGATGGATCTCTGAGTTCAAGACCAGATTGGTCAACATTGCAATGGCTCCTTATCTCAGAACAAACAAACCAACCCAACCACAGCAACAACAACGAAAGATGCTGCTCTGAGCCCTTTCCCATCTGCCGTGTAGAAGGATGTGCATCTAAAAAGGGTGTTGAAGGCCCCTGGTACTGTTGCTTGGACTTGTGGGCAGGATGCTGATCAGTGTGATCCTTCTGGGAAATAATGTTGGCTGATCTGCTGCTTGGGCCTGTCTGAACCATCCAGGACCTCTGCCTTAACTGTTAACGATATATTGAGCACCATGAAACAGCCTTTGCAGGGGGCTGAGGTTACAAAAACAAATGTGAGGTAACTCCTTTCATCAAACATAATAGGGGGTTGCTGTGTAAGCGTACTGTGGTAAAGATCTACACGGTAAAGATGCTGCCTCCCAGAGCCAGCAAAGACGGATAATTGGAGAGGGCCTGGGAAGATGGTTCAGTGCTTAAGAGCAGCTCGTACTTTCCCAGAGGACCAGAGTTTGATTCCTAGACGGCTTATGGCCGTCTCTAACTCCAGGGAGGGGATTTGATGTCCCTTTCTGGCCTTTATGGTTATCAGCCATGCACACTGTATACATGGACATCCATCCACCCACACATGTAAAATTACCAGGGATTTGAGGGCTAGCTAGAAAATACAGTGTCTGTGAAGGGGGCATATACTGATTCTGTAGAGTTGCAGAGAAACAACACAGATCATATGTCTGGGCCAGAGGAGACAGCCTATCTTTGTTTCCTTTATGTAACTTGTTGAGAAGATTAAGACCCATAGCTCTCTTGACTTGGTTTGTTCTGAGAGGAGAACTATGGGAAACCACTGATGGGTTCGTTAACAGAAGTGGTTTGATAAAAATCTGTGTGTGAGGAAAGTCTTTCTGATCGCCATTGGAAAGGGAACAGAGAAGCAGGAGGGATGAAGCAGGAGGGATGAAGCAGGAGGGATGTTTCAGCAGAAGTCCCGGTGAAAAAGTACCCAGAATAAGGGCAATGTGGGGAAGGGTAGGGCAGTGATGAGGAACTTGTAAGATTGCATGGGAAGGACTCAGGGACCAACTGGCTTGTTGTGGGGTGAAGAGGAGAGTGATTCTGGGCTTAGGTTGCAGTTCCTGTGGAGCAGTGACCCTGTTTCCAGTAGTTTGGAGATCAGAAAGGATGGACTGGTGGGTAGGTGCTCTGGTGGAGAATGCAGTTGTACGGTGGTGCAGAGTTCTTGATTCTGGTTCTGCTTTGTCACCTAATTGTTTTTTAAGATTTAATTATTTATGTATTTGGGTATTTTGTTTATATGTATGTCTGTATACTAGAAGAGGGCTTCAGATCTCATTATAGATACTTGTGAGTGGAAGAACAGCCAGTGCTCTTAACTGCTGCACCATCTCTGCAGCCCCTCATTTGAGAGAGAGAGAGAGAGAGAGAGAGAGAGAGAGAGAGAGAGAGAGAGAG